TTAACCTGTTCCTGTTGGGGTCGAAAGAACAAAAGAAGAGAGAGAGAGAGAGAGAGACGGAAAATAAATTACGGTGGATACTGACCTGAGCCGCTGTGGCTGAACATCCCTTGCTGATATCATCCCATCCACTCTGCTGTGGTGGTCTCTTCAACTGGTTTAGGTATCATATTCATTCCCCTGTCCTCTGTATATTTTTGATTTATTTTTATTTATTTATTTTATTTCTTCTTCGCCTCTGTCCCTTTCTTCTGCAATGCAACAATGCCCCTTCAAAACTTGTCCCCTGTGAATGATTTGATTTACATCCCTGCTAGTGGACATGAACCACTTACGATCAATGGATCCGGACTCAAGCAATAATATTCCGGCTGTAACTATGGAGTGCAGTAGTGCGATGAGCGGCGTACGGCGGCGGATCTTCTGCAGATGAAAAGTGGCCGGGGTGTGGAAAGGGACGGAACGCATGTCACCAACACCGCTGCATCCAACTTATCCAGGACCCGTTCGCCGTCGATCCATCGGTATCTGTCGAACCAAAGACGACTCCGAAGGACTTCCAGGACGATTCGGTGGGATTAATTTCCTCAATTCGCCACAGCTTTCTTTCGGAGTACGCATCCCCTACTCCGTGTGTCCATCTTTCTTGGTCTGCAGATGGTTGGCATTAGTGAGAGATTGACGGGGATGCAGGAACAAACCTCTCCCATTGGATAGGGATCTTTCGTCGAACCTCTATCAGTCTGGAATTAATCCCAGACGTGCGTAACAACAGACGTACCAGGTTGAGATCCAACCAAACTATCACATGATCCCTCGTCTGTCTTTTTCATTATTATTATTTTTTTTTTTTTTGCTTTGTGGCTCAAATGCGGGAAAAGACACATGGCCAAAAAAGAAAACTCAAACGGAAGTGGAGATACGCTTCCGTAAAATGAGATCTCCACTATGAAAAAGTGTTCATTCCGCGCCGTTGGACGCTTAGTCTGAAAAACTCCTTGGACCAAATCACTCACAGACACACACAACTCATGCGGAGAGACTAACGCAGGTCTAAGCCCTCGGTTAAGCTGGCGACATGCACGACTGACTTGGAGAAAATGCGATCAAACACTGACTAGGCAAAAGTAAGATTACACTAACACGAGAAAAGGCTATTGAGGTGCACATGACACAATCCAAGCCTGTCAATCCTGGTCTTATATGCAGTCCCATGTACGATCAATCTATTGAATAGTATCACCAGCAACTACCTGTCTGGATACCTGCTGAATGAATCTCTGCAACAACCTCGGCGCAACGGAACAGATCAAAATAAAAATACGGATCAACCCCGTATGGGTATTTGCCTCCCGGTAGAACATTTGCAGTCCTTCCAGAAGCCTTGGTTTCCATGGTTCACCGCTCATTAGTGAGCTCCATCTCGTCCTTGGTGAGGGATTCGCCGCCTTAGCGCTAACCTCGAGTCAAGTGGACTCATTAATTAACTAAATGGTTTGGTAGCCCGCTTACTTGGCGGTGGAGCTCTTGTCCTCCTCCCAAGAATGGCAGTCTTGTTTCACTCAACCTGTGCTCCACCATCCATTTCGGGCTCCCAATATAGTAGGTGCCTCTGCTTCTTGGGTGCCTAGGGAATCGCGCCAGGAACGAACCGAATTCCTTCACAGTCATGATGTCATGAGGTGAATGTCATCGGCAATCTTGATCCATGGCTGAACTTTGTCCCCTCTCAACTCTCCTGGAGTGTGCCCCAGTCCCTCGGACACTCCGGGATATGAACTCCTAGTGTCACGGAAAACAAGGAAAGCGCGGAGATAAATCGGACGGTAGCCTGAATAAGGTTCTGTTCGGTTCGTCCCTTGAGCTTCGTGCAGGATTCGAACAGCCACCACCAGCAACGCCGTCTGCCTAGCAATAGGGCCGCCGAAAGCAGTCAATAATCTGACAAGGCTGCGATACCACTCGTGTATGCACGGCCGACCATTACTCGCGGTTGCTGACCTGCAAAGGACGGCGTGACTCAAGTGGTCTAAGCCTCAAGAGGACTCGCCCAGTCTAGCCCTATCTCGGCGCCGTGGCGGTGCCTCGGTCGGCCCAGAACCATCAGATGTAGTTCGATTTGATAGTGAACCATGTCACAGATAAAGTATGCAAAACATTACACTATTACCTTTCCGATCGCTCTGGATTGTTTGACAGGGGGCTTATATGAAGTTTAAATGAGGCTAGGATCTTTGAGGCTCCATTATCATAAAGATCCGTGGTTTATACAATTAATTGGCATTGGCTATATCTCGAATTTTATAGCGAGTATACGATGTCCTGAATTTCCAGAGACACATTAGTATAGACATAAATAAGTATATCAGCAAATATATTGACCAATTTAGAAAAAAAGCCGGGGCCCCAATCAACCCATGACACCAACAACAGAGACCAATGCTCCCGAACGTAAAATCAACCAGTGTAGAGTAATTCTCGATACTCGGCCGAACCAACCTATAGTACGATGAAATATTAAACCCGACAACATATCTGACACATAAACCAAACCAGTTCCCCATGTAAGTCATACATACATACATATGATACCGACCACCAACTTGCATGACCTTTACCTAATACCTGCAGCAACCCGGAAGTCTAAATTGATCTTCGACATTCTCCAGATATGTACAACCCTGCATAGGGTACGTGCATATGGCGTGACCCAGCAACAAGTCCTTCACTCAGGGCGCTGTCTCATGATGTATAATTGCTGTGCGATATATTATGCACATATGGGACAATACAAGAAGTATACAATCGAACGGAAATCATACACTACATGCATATCAGATATAGCTCCGTAGGTATGTACATAGCTGGGCCCCATATCCAGTCGCATTGAAAACGCAGAAGTTGAAAGTTCAACTGCAGCAGGATATCCCTGTTTTGCCCCCATGTCCAAGTATGCATGTCAGGTATCTCGACATTGATATGCGTTACACGACAGAGAGTGCGTATATGAGAAAATTGCGAACAGCGCTGCGCATACCATGCGATATATGCATTCATCTTAGTCACTTTGCCTGATGCTGGGCTTGGGAGGCGAGTTACACAGCACGGTTGTATATTAGGAGCGACTGATACCATGCGATGAATGCATTCGGCCACGTCGCTTTTGCTGCGGCGGGTGGGAAACAGGTTACTTGTGCCGGGTGTTGCTCATCCAAGTTGTAATGTAGAGGTCATACGGTGCCTGGTGACATGGCGATTATGTGTCCCCCCTCCCGTTCCTTCGGTGGTCATTCGTGTGAGCTGAGGTGATTACTGTGCTACCTCTCTTGTTGTCTTGGGGGTGGCTGGTTGGCGTTTTGTCTGGATGATGATTGCATTGTTGGATGACCAGTTTTGTTCTGCGCCGGTGTTGAAGGGATGTAACGTCTTGTAACCATCGGTTAGCCAGAATTACTGTGAAGACAAAGAGCTATGTTGGTTTGAAGGTCATCTTCTGAGATGAGAAAGAGATATGACATCGGTGTCTGGTCTCTTTTGGGGCTATTGCTCACATGATCTGAGGGACGATTCGGAGGCTCCAATTCTCTCTGTCCATCTGTCCATACTCTTGTGCCGTTAGGTTACTAACTCGCGATTCTGCCTTTAGGCTAGACCTTTCAGTAGGAAACCAAAGGTGTCTAGATCGATCAAATAACATGTAGCAACACCATCCTTCCGTTCCATATTTTCTTCCATTTGTTTCCGCTTTTATAAATGTATTCAGTCCATATGCCCTCCAAAGACACCGCTACGTCCCGAATTCTAGTGACATACAGCCTGAAGAGACAATGAGAAAGATAAACAATTACAGCACAGTTCCTCTTCGTATAAAAAGAGCTGAAATTGAGCTTGGAATCTCAACACCTAGTACTCTTCTTAACTCTTTCATATCTTAATATCATCAGCCATATACATTCAGGGGTCAGATTAATGTGTTTCATCATAATAGTGACTTACAGAGAAAGACCTTTACTTCCCTTATATGGTCCAAGTTTGTTTGCTTTGGGTATTGATTAATAGTGATACTCCTGGATATACTCTTCTTGATTGCCGTCACAAGCCCTGCTCGACGTCCTTGAACTGCTGGTGCAAAGCCCCGAGTACATGGACTTTGTATTTTCTATGACCAACATGATGATTATACCACCGTGAACCGGCAAAGAAACTTACCAAGGCTCCTAGGTAGGATAAATATATGTCGGTGAGTTCTGATGAGAACTATGATCAATCTCCTAAGAACAAGTTTAGTTTTGAACAAAAAATAAACCAAAAAAAAAAAAAAGGCTTCTACCCTATGGTCAGGATATCTAGGAACTAGCTTAAACGCAAAACATTAGTGATTTATCAAGGCCAAGTGGGACTCTCTAGTGATGAGCATTCTCCAGAAACCATGTTACATTCTATGTTTTGTTGAATAGGCTCTGCGGAGTAAACGGTGAAATTGTATGAGGAGGTGAAATCTTTGACAAGTATTACCACTTTTAGGGCCATTTGCGGACATCGTTCTGTTGAAGTACTTCAACTCAATGATAAGTATTATATATCAATATGGAAACCAGGTGGGCTTTGGAAGGTACTTGTTGTGCGACCCGAGCTGTACATGAAGAAGATCTCGCAGGAGAGCAAACGGAACGACAGGTGTCATCTCGTATGTTAGAGTATGGTATATAAATACCAGTGAGAAGAGAGTTATCCGACAGGTTTAGGGTATTGTATATATAAAGCCGAAGAACGTGAGGACTATGAGCCCGAGAGCAAGAAACCTGAATGGAATTCCAAGGCAAAGACGGATCCCATAAGCGCTTGAATAAATAAATCTATTCAGAGATGCGCCGGATTTACATAGGACTCTCTGGAGCAAATCAATAATGGGTACCACGAAATTAGCTCATACTAGTATAAGGACTACTATACTACTCCTGTGAATGACATATATATATATATAACATGTCCTATAATACCCAAAAAATAGATTATGATTTTCAATCGGCATGTTTTCCTACTATAGTATTTACCTAGATTTCTCCAAGTTGGCTGCGCAGTTCAAGGGACTGGCCAATTTAAGGGAGTGCCATGTACATGCGATTTCTGCCTCAACATTTTCCTTGTCGTTCCTCCGCGCAAAACTACCACTCTTCATAGGCGAGGAATAGAAATGAGCCAGTATAGCATGCCCGTATTTCACGTGGTAGACAAGGTCGGCTTGATCTCTGCTAAAGTGATGGTGTAGTGAATAAACAGTCGCCATTTTCAGCTCCAAATATGGTGTCACATGAGCTGCTCTCAGTTGGCTGCCGTGCTAAGGAGAAATATTTCCTAGGCTTGGCTCCGAGGCAAGTTTGTTTGTCAGAGATTCCTAACCAACGCAGTAGTACTTTGCTTTCATCAACTGTCTACAACCTGTCATATTAAAATGAACGTGAAGTAGTACCCAGGAAATAGTCCTCCAAATCCACTCATGTTCATTCCATGTGGTTGTGTCGCTGGCTTCGTTATCCTTGACGAGTTCGGTAGTTGCTGGGGCTCGGTTGCTGGTTTCACTGACGAGGCGATGGATGCCGAGTGTACGCTGCACAGAGTTTCGAGCCCAGTATGGGTGCAGGTATGATAATACCTCCTGCTTCGACTGGTAAAAATGTCTAGATCAACTGACATCTTGCTCTTCATCCACATCTCCCTGGGCTTGAGTGGACATCCACTCCTCCATTAGAGCCTGGCGCGTGGGCTCCGAAGCTCCCGTGCTTGCTCTAACTTTGTCCCCTGTACGCGTAACGAGTAGGCATAGAATCCAACCGTAAATGTTGAACCCCTCATAGTTCGTCCTGAAGCGCAACTTCTTATCATCCGGTTCCTCATCCTTTCGACATTTCGGGGCGCGTGAACTGGCTGTGGCTTCAACTGCTCCGTCTGCATCTCGTTGGCGTTTACTCGTTCTATCGTTCTCTTCAGTAGTGGCTGGGGGGATGTCGCGCAAATCAACATTAGATTCGCTATCGCTCTCGACCAAAATACCTGCATCGGCAGCCCCGCTTGAAGTTTCCGTAGGTTGGGATGGATTTCTTGCTCTCGATTCGTTATCGGGCTCGTCGAACTCCTTGTGTCGCGTGAGGAGCGAGTGACGTGTTCGGGATTCACGGAGGAATAACGAAACCTCGAAGTCCTCTACATCAATTGCATGGTTAGTGATTGGCATGTTCTCCGGATTCCGCGGTAGGTCCAGCATCGGATTTGATACCTTCAGCTATCACATCTTTCACTGGTTTCCCTTTCTTCCGAGCAAAGAGCCTTTCGTTCTCCTCGCGTAATTTAGGCAGAACTAGCGGGCGAATGGCAGCGAATATCCGTGGGAGGACAGGCTCGCGGTTGTCGAGGAGCCATCGAGTGTCCGATGGGTTTTCCAGGTAGATCCGGCATTCGAGGATAGTATACTTGCTGATCCTGAGGTATCGACGAATAGGAGCCATACTGCGATCCGAGTATTTTCAGAGCTGTAGGAGTGGAACTCGCAGCTAGAATTGAGCATAAACCAAGGAAAGGGGGGACAATATAGTTGAGTAGAACTTCAAAAGCAGGGGCGACTAAGGTTTGGTTGACTGGTATGACATAACGGTCAACCTCCACATGATCGGAAGGTTTCTGCCAAGCTGTGTTTACTCATTTGCGAATCTGATAAATATTTACTCGTAACTGTTAATAAGTATTCCTTTGACTATGTTATTTTATCTGGATTTACTCGAGGTAGCTACATACTCTCTGGTATATCTAGCCACTCAGGAGAAGGTTTTGTTGTTACCTACTCATGTGATTCAGCGTCCTACTACTGAATGATTAGTTCGTAAATTATGTAAGGCGGCTGCCTTTTCCAACCCCTCCAGGGCCTTGCTACACCGCTTTCCCTGTCGATAAACCCCACGTTCATTTCTTGTATGTATCACCTTCGGAGGATATACTCATAGATCATGGACCTGTAGTATTGGCAAGAGCACAATGGGCATTCTAACCTTTTAATGAAAGCCCTATGTTCGGTACTTATACCATTTTCAAGGAGTACTATGGCACAACCAATCCACTAAGAACTGGACCAAGATACAGCGACTTCGGGAACCACAGATTGAAACACGCAGTTGAGTAGATTAGTATGAGTCACGTGATGGACCCCCACAGACAAAGCAAGAGGTTGCCAATCAGATGGGCAGAAAAGGAGGGTCAGCACGTCCCCAAGGTCCTCAAAGAAGTCCGAAAATGTCTTCAGATCCGCTGGCCTCCAAGGTCCTCGTCCACTGTGACCGCACGCCAGCACAAGTGGGACATCGAAATCTCAGCGCCCTTCCACCATGGACACTTCCAACTTCCTCCTCGTTGGTGTACAGTACCTCCTAGAACCATCCTCACATCGGTTCCTGAGGAATAAAGAACGAGTCCTTGTTACGTCGAAACAGGCGTCCTTCATCATACACTGCGAGAAGTGACATACACACTGCGTCGTGCTAGGCATACATACATCCCACGCTACACTCCAAGGTCCTCACCTCGAGACCTGATCCTTACCGCCGCTTCGTTTGGTTGGATACAAAAGACACTAAGCATACACCAGAAGTGGAGTTCAAGGACCTTGCGGACATTCAATCACATCGGTCGACACCTCGTCGCACAACAAGATTTGATATACGGGTAGCGGGGCAGGAAAACCCATAAATTGGTCTGAGATACCAAGAATACCAAGCACCGGCATCTTGCAGTCTAAGAAATCTTCGCCCCCCTTGCGAGTGTCTCCGTTCGTTTCCCACGTGGTTTCTATATTGGCGAATTCCTTCTTACCTCAACTCTGAGTTCTATTGGGCTCTCGTGCCTGCCAGAGAGTTTCTTTTCCAGTTGTTGCTCCTGGCCCGTGCCGTTGTGCATCGGTTTTTGGAAAGTCATCTGCCAATCTCTCCAGTAAACCAAATCCATTAGGGAAGTGGGACAACATGGATGTTCTACACACTCTTCTCACCCGGGATGAGAATGCGGGGCCCGCCCCTGCCTGCGAGACAGGCAACGAATACGACGGTCGCATGGGTTTGCGTATCTCCTCTATCTTCGTCATCATGGTCGGTTCGATGTTCGGTGCTGTCTTCCCGGTCTTTGCCGGACAGTTTCGACGTACGAAGTATTTGGAGTGGGCTTTTTTCGTTGCCAAATACTTTGGCTCCGGCGTCATTATTGCTACGGCTTTCATTCATCTGTTAGCTCCTGCTGAGGAAGCGTTAAAAAATGAATGCCTGACAGGCCCGATCACAGAGTATTCATGGGTCGAGGGTATTATCCTAATGACCATCGTGGTGCTGTTCTTTGTCGAGATGATGGTCATGCGGTATGCTCGGTTTGGCCAAAGCCATGCACATGAATTGGCGCATGAACATGACCATGACCATGACCATAGAGAGACCAAGACTGCTAGCTCTGAGAGTGGTTCTGAGGTCTTGGACAGCAAGCATATTCCCGGCCGGGATCATCTGGGTCACTCCCGCGACCACCATGACCCTGAGAGGGCTTCCCATGATTCGTCTCTCGAGGAGTATATGGCACAGCTGACTGGCATTTTCATTCTGGAATTTGGTATCATTTTCCACTCTGTCTTTATCGGCTTGACCTTGGCGGTATCCGGTGCTGAGTTCGTTACGCTCTATATCGTCCTTGTATTCCACCAGACTTTCGAAGGTCTTGGTCTGGGGTCTCGACTGGCTACAATCCCCTGGCCTCGCGCGAAACGTTTTACCCCATATCTTCTGGGCATTGCATTCGGTCTGTCGACACCAATCGCGATTGCGATCGGATTGGGTGTTCGCAAGTCGTACCCTCCCGAGGGCCGCACCACTCTCATCGTTAACGGAGTCTTCGATTCAATTTCCGCCGGTATCCTCATTTACACGGCACTCGTGGAGCTTATGGCGCACGAGTTCATGTTCAGTAGCTCGATGAAAAAGGCGCCTATCCAACACGTGCTGGGCGCGTTCTTCCTCTTATGCTTGGGTGCTTTGCTGATGGCTCTTCTTGGAAAATGGGCTTGATTTAAGATTGTCTATTTTATTTTATCTTGTTCTATTGCTGTGTTACTGTGTTCAATATACCCCATCGGCAGGCTGTTTGATTTATTGCTGAGTTGCACTATTTCTTCACTTCTTGACTGCTGCACTACTTCACTGCTTCTACTAAGTATTTCCGAGAATACAACTTTTGCTCCTATTTACTTTTCACACATGTTAAAAGTAATTATACAATCTTCCAGGACTATTCTACCTTTGCCATTTAGTAGACAACAACCAATCTATTAGTTTAATTAGCATACCATACTCAAGTAACTGGTGCCTGAGGTAACCTAAAACGAACGAACGCCGGAGTTACGCCAGACCGCATTTAATCTAATCTCCGCATAAAGCGACCCAACCAACCACGTTTCCTCAAACCACCCCCAAACACCAAACACCAATCTCCAACTCAACTTAACTCCCTCACGCAAAACCAAGTCCTCACTTACCAAACACGCACACACACACACACCCCCCCTAAGTTTCAAAATGCGTTTCTCAATCCTCTCCACCCTCCTCGTCTCCCTCGCGACCCTCTCTACCGCCGCCGAACTCGGCATCGAGAAGACCCACGAGGTAGAATGCACCCGCAAAACCGTCAAGGGCGACACCGTCCAGATGCACTACAAAGGCACGCTCCAGTCCGACGGCTCCGAGTTCGACTCTAGCTACAAGCGCAACTCGCCATTGAAGTTCAAGGTCGGTTCGGGCATGGTTATCAAGGGGTGAGTTTGGCTTTCTTGTGATGGGACCTGGGCATTAGGCTAATGGTTGGAAGGTGGGATCAGGGTCTCCTGGATATGTGCATCGGTGAGAAGCGCACTTTGACTATCCCCCCTGAGTATGGCTATGGGTCTCGTGGTGTTGGGCCCATCCCTGGTGGCGCGACTCTGATTTTTGAGACGGAGTTGGTGGGTATTGATGGTGTTTCGAAGGATGAGTTGTAAATTTGGTTTGGGGGTTAGGCTTTTTTTTTTTTTTTTTTTTTTTTTTTTTTTTTTTTTTTTTTTTTTTTTTTTTTTTT